AAACAGTTTCATGTACATGATTTGAGTAAAAACATTTATGATGACTCATATCGAGACATGACTGTCTAGAAATTGAGTAGCATATAATGATGTTGTTGTTTATGAATGTTCTCTTGCTGATTGATCATCAATATAAAATGAAGAACGGTATGTGAGAAAGAAAAGAGAGAAGTACTTCGCATGTAGCAGAGTGGCTAATACAGCGTGAAGAACGCGACACTGGTTCGATTCCAGTACGAAGCTTTTTTTTTTCTCGTTCTGTTGCGTTAATATCCATTGATTTTTGGAAATTTTGTTTTTGCTTATGATCAGAGGTACCCTCTCGAGATCTCAACGGCGACGGGGGTTATCAACCATGCTGATTCCGAATATGCAATTATTTTTTCCCGGGAACTCTTCCTTCAAAACACCTCTACGGTGATATGAAATATTCAAGAAAAACATTTTACTCCATTCTTGAATCACTAGTACTTTAATTTTCCATCCCAAAAAAAGTATAAAATTTCTGAAAATTTATTAAGCTCGACATTAAAAGGTTTTCATAACCCTCACTATTTGATACCAATAAACCCCATTTTTAACGAGCTTTCATTTTATATAAAATTTATTATGTCTTCTATTTGAAATTATAGCGTTACCCCCCTGGAATAATATTTTTTCCAACCGTGTACAACCGCATCGATCTCGACCATTCTTATAACCAGCGCATCAACAATCAGTACTTCGACAACAATGACACCGGAAAGTAGCAGCAGTACGCAGACCAGTTCGCCGAGCTCGGAAGCAGTCACAACAACAACGCAGCTTTCAACAACGACGAAGAGTAGTGAAGCATACAAACCGATGACACTCAATTTCATATTGTTACTGCCTTTTGTTTACTTTTGCATCTTGACTATGATAATTGCTTGATTTAAGATATAATAAATTATCATTTGAATTTGGTTCGATTATAATACACGAAGTATTCATGAGAGTCAAGAGATGAGAAAACACCAACATTGTTGTGTAGATAACTGCAATGATGTGGGGGTGAGGGTGCGGGTATAGGTATGGATAGAGAAAAGATAGAGAACAACATCCAAACACACTAACACTGGGTTCCACACCCACACCCTTAGCGTAATGCTTTTCATAAAAACAATCAAAACAAAAAAAAAATCTGTGACAATCAGAACTGAAAGTTTTTATTTTTTATTTTTGCTGTCGCCGGGCTCACTTCTTTTGATCGTTGTTACCTGATTTTCTCACAGTACCCAGCACAGTGTCTCCAAACTGTAAGCGCAGATCCTTTCTTTTCTTCGAGCTTTTGAACAGCAAGTTTGGACTTCGAATGTTTTGTTAGTTTTTGTCCTGGATCAGGTTTCAGATTCTTCAATAACATGTTAACCAGTAAAATACAAGAGAAAAAGAAAACAACGAGTCCGCACAGAATAAAAGGCCAACGAGTGCAATTTGGCGATAGACGATCGCACACGAAAATGAATTTGATAGAACTACTCTGTGACAAAACTGAATTGGGTCGAATATACTATACAAAATAAGTTTTTATTTATAATCAATTTCTTTTATTAAATTCGTATGGATATATCAAGTTTATCAATCGATACAAACCAAATTTGATCAAATGCATATCGAATTGCTCGTTTAGAATTGAGTAATGGTTCATTTAAAATTTTAAAAAATAAATCAATAATCATTTGTATATCATTTGCAAAGACAGCAGTTCCAATAGGTCCTAATAATAAATATGTATCTTTACCATTTCCCTCTGTATTAGCAACAGCTGAAGCAATAATAGCTTGAAATTTTTCAAATGTACGAGAACGTAAATCTTCTAAGTTTTCATGTGATGGTGGTTTATAAAGACCTTTGTCTATTCCAGATAAATCATAACCTATTTGAGAAAAAATACAATATTAAAAAGAATCATATCTATTGAAAAGAATAAAAGAACATTATTCAATATTTTAATAAAATTTTCTTCGAAATAATTTCTGCTAATCAAATTGACCTAGGACCACTACTGTAAAAGTAAGAGTCAATTATAACTTGATTACCATTAAGATTGCTTAGAAAATGTGCCGATTAGGCTAGTCACCTAAAACAAATAATCAGAAAAAAAACCTTTGACATACCTCTGAAGTGACTACTAAGTTCAGATTAAAAACTTTATGGAAAATATTAGGAGTGCGGTTCGAATTCAGTACCAGAAACTTTATAGTTGACAAGTGTTACTACTCTCCTTCATTAATCTATTAAATACATATAATGAAACTATTTTGTTTTTTTCTATTGACTGATTTATTATGAGATATAAAATTTAACATCAAGTGTAATTACAATTGCTTTAACTCTATGAGTCAGAGATTATTTTTATATAGTAAAAAGGACGGGGGAGATGATTGACGAGCAAATCGGCTATATAAAATATTTTGATTCGAAACCTCAACTATGTTATACCGAACGAAAGAGCTCGATGAGTTGAGCATTTTTTGTGACAGAACTTGGTCTTTTAAACGTCATGGTTTCATTTAAAAGACCAAGTTCTGTCACAAAAAGTACTCAACGCACCGAGCCATTTCGTTTGGTATAACACAGTTAGGGTTTCGAATCAAAAAATTTTTATAGGGTCGATTTGTCTATCAACCGTCGTCCGTCCTTTTTGCTATATAAAAATAATCCTGTACTCAAAGAATTAAAGGACAATCAATAATCATCAGTAAGTATAGACAATCTTAACGTACAAATATTCTAAATATAAATCTCCTTGCAATTCATATCATTAAATAATCAACTGGCCGTGTTTTTTAAAGCTATTCAGGTTTCGAAATCTCAGGATGCGAATTCGTGTTGCCCAGACTCAAAGGATTAAATTGCTGAATAATTATTAAGAAGAAAAAGTACTTCGGTAAGTTCAAGTATCGTTTTTTTTCTTCTTGAAATTATTACTAAAATATGAATCATATAATTATTACATATCAAAAGAATAAAAATTTTCAACTTTTTAACAATGACTAATTTAATATATCTTTATCTAATTGAAAATACTTACAAGCAGTAACAATTAAATCTGTAATACGTTCTTTTTCAGATATATTTTGAAAAAATCGTACTCGTTTCATATAAGCTACACCATATTCAGGTAACATATAACTACCATCCATCATTTTATATTTTAAATCTAATAATGCTCGATAACCATCAGAATTATAAAGAATAACCTAAAATTAAAATTAAAATTAAAAATAAAAATATTCTATATATTCTATTAACTTCTTCTTGTGTTTGAACATTTTCAAGAAAATAACCACCTGGTATACGTTCATTAGCAAAATCCAAAACAATAACTTGTTTACCTTCTGGAACTTGAAATACAGCATTTTCAATATTTAACTGAATAAATTGTATTATTCCAGAATTTTCTCGTGTATTAACAGGTGATTTTAATAAATTATCATGTGTATCAGTATCTGTTATTGGATTGAAATGATTATTTTTATTTAAATCTCGTATTTCATTATAATTCCAATAAATTTTAAGTTCTTCTGGTAGAAAACCATTAAAACGATATTTTGATATATATCTACAAGATTGTTTTGGACCTAATATATCAGAATCTTCTTGTAATTCCCAATAATTTCTAAATTTTTCTGCATAATTTAATTCCCAATAATTACCAAAACTTTCCGCATGATATTGTCTTTGATATGATTCAATAATATTCTTTAAATCATTATAATTTTTTTCAATATATATCCAATTAATTTCTGGATTATATTCATTTATTAAACACATTAATCGTTCATTATTTGGTGTTGAATATATTGATAATAAAAAATATAACATTGTTCGACGATTATGATGATAATCATATCGTTTATGTATTTCATTATTATTTATTAATGGTAAAGCAATACTAAATATTGAATCTATATCAATTTTACGTAATGCATGTACAGGTATATATGCTCTTGTATTTGTCATATTGTATTGTATAAATCGCTAAGAAAAAGATCAAAATAAAAATTAATGATTTCGTAAGATAAGAAGATATTTTTGAAAAAATCTCATTGATGATAAATCCACTCACATCAAAAAATATTAGAAGCTAATATTGTTGAAGTCAACTATACGATTGAACAGTAATACACGAATAAACTATGTACCTAATGATCAGTATGATTGTTATAGGTATGAAACATAAACGATATGTACACTGAAAATATACAAAGAACGAAAATCAACATAAAAACAAAGTGATTCATACAAAAAGGAAGTGAATGTACTCTATCGTTCTTAGTAAATAGCATATGCTCCATGAACAGAAAGAGAAAAAAAACCAACATAGTATTCCATCCGTGACATATATCATGTTTTTCTTACATTTTAAAATCATATTGATCGAATATGGCAAAAAATTGTTTTCGTTATATCATGTCTATGATAAAAATAATATTTTACTTTTTAAAAGATTTAAACGAATATAATATTTTTCTTATAGAAGATTTTTTTTTGTCGAAGAACCAAGTGTGTCGATCATGTGAGTCTCATTTTGGGAATAATAATACTTATATTGTTGTTTTCGATAAAGTTTTAGCTACTTTCTACAATATAATATTTCTATAATGGACACCTAAGAGACCTTTTAAAAGTGTCTACTATACGGAAACATTCACTTTTGGAAATTTTTCAATTTTTGTTATGAAATCATTGTTACAGTTACTAAGATGTTGTTCATCTCATTTCTCGAGTTTATATCACATGGAACCATGTTGAAATTAACTTTTCTCGTCAATTACTAAAAATTTATTCAATTTCGATGATTCTTTTTCGAAATAACCAATGAGAAAACTTCTTTTGTATTTCTTCTAGTCAAGATGGACATAAATCGTCTGCGACTTCAAGTTTGCCGTTGAGAAATCATGAAATAGTTCTTGTCGGTTCATGATTTACTCAAATAAATGTGTTCAATTCTTTTTTTCTTACTTTCTAGTTTATCTTCCCTCTTAATTGCCTTTCTATTCTAGATTACATGGCATACTAATCTATTCAATGTTCATTTACACACGTAATTCTATTTAAAGGAAATTGAATCTCTCAAAATCTGAAAAAGAAAAACCTTGATTTTTGTCACGAACGAGTTTTTTTTAGATTTTTATTTTCCACTTATGAGATGACTGACCAGAGAACCGGCAAAAATTGCTCGGAGAAACCGACAGATGTTCATAATAGGAAGGTGTCTACTTTAGAGAGGTGTCCACATAGAGAGATCTTACTGCATTTCATTGGCATTTTTTTACAAGGAGAAAGCA